AGCTCCCGGTAGGCGGGCGCCTCCTCGATGTCGTGGCTGGAGAGCATGTAGAGGCACTCCCGGGTGGAGCAGATGTGGCGGGCGCAGGGCGGCAGGCGGGGGCAAAGAGGGGGGAGGGGTGGTGGTGAGCCCCCCGCTCACCTTGATCTGCAGCCGGACAAAGGAGGCACTGCCCTTCGGCCAGCCTGGCAGGCGGCCCCCTGCCCCGCAGCCGCAGCCCATCAGGTCCTTGCTGAAGTCCCCGCTCTGGCTCAGCACCAGCGTGTGGTTCAGCCCGCACCACAGGTCCAGGGGCCACTTCAGGTAGTGCACCTGCGCGGGGGCGGCAGGGACAGGCCCTCTGAGCAGGGCTGGGGGCTCTGCTGCCCCCCCTCCCTCCCTCCCCAAAGGGCCCTCCTTCCCCCTGCAGGCAGAGAGCCGGCCCAAGAGGAAGGGGCCCCCCCTCCAGCCGTCCCCCCGGAAAGCCTCTTCCAGCCTGCTGCAGGGGAGGGGGGGGCTGTGGGCCAGACAAACGGAGGGGGACCCCAGACCCCCCCCCCCCAGGAGCCACTGTGGGCTGGCAGGCCGAAAGCGGAGCCCCCTGGGGAAATGGGGAGGGGGTGGGGAGGGGGGCTGTACCTGGGCAGGCTCCCCGCGGTCTATCTTGTCCCCCGTGCCCAGCTGCCCATAGCGGTTGTTTCCCTGCATGAAGATCCGTCCAAATTCATCCACCAGGCCCAGGTGGTTGTAACCCAGGGCGCAGCTGAGCACCTGTGGAGAGGTGGGGGGGAGGACGGAGAGGTCTTTGGAGACATGGAAGGGTGTCTGGGCATGTGCAGAGTGCCCTCCCAGGAGCCGCACGCAGGGATGGTGGGGAGCAGAGTGGAAGCCGCAACTGGGAACTGCTGGGAACCCGGGTGAAAGGGGCCAGAAAGGAGGGGGCAGAGGGGGTGGGGGGGTTGGGGAGGAGAAAGCCTTTGCCCACCGTCTCCCCCATCCAGTGTCTGCCCACCGACCCCTTTTGCAGGGCAGCTGAAGCCCCCCCAGGGCCCCAGGTAAGAGCGGGGGGGGGGGGGGGGCTCCTACCTTAGCAGGCAGAGAAAGGGCCAGGGGCATCTGCTGATCCAGGGGGTCGAAGGCATGCAGGGTGCCAAAGAGGTCGCGGTAAACGCCAGGGGAGTGGACCTCGAAGTAGACGGTGCCCTCGCCTGGCATGGGAGACCACGGTCGGCTTCAGGCCAGCTCCACACCCGGCTCCTTCCCCTCCCTCTGGCCCTGGTTCTCTGGAAGGGGCTCCCCCGTCCCCTCATCTCCCCCTCGGATGCCAGCCCTCCAGTGGGACCCCTCCCGGGGCTGCCCTTCCTTCCTGTCACCTGTCAGGTAGACGGCGCTGCTCTGGTTGGAGCGCATGTGCCGGACGGAGATGTGCGGGAGGCACTTGGAGACCTTGCGCAGGGCCAGCTGCACCGTGTAGGAGCGGGGCTGGTCCAGCTGCGTCTCGTTGACCACCAGGCTGTAGATCTTCCCTTCCTCTGTGGAGAGAAGGATCCCACCCTGGCAGGTGATGGGGGCAGGGAAGGAGGGTTTCTTGCATCCAGGCGAGCCAGGGTGGGGGTGGGGGGGGCTACCTCGGGCACGAAGGCCGGCCGGCCGGGGCACAAGCCGCTCGCTCGATTCCTTCCAGGGCCAGACGGGCCGATGCCGGAGGGGAAACCCACAGGGGCCCCTGCGAAAGCAGCAGGCACTCCCCCCCTCCTCCCTCCGGCTGAAGGCTGGGAAGGACCCCCGGGAGGGAGGGCCCCCTCACCTGTCAGGAGCAGGAGGGACCTCTCGGTCTCCTGCCCCACCAGCACAATCTGCCTGAACTTCATGGAGAAATGGAAGGTCATCTTGAAGACCCGCTGCCCGCTGGATTGCAGGTACACCTCCACGCAGTCACAGAGGCGGCTGCTGGGGGCCGGGCCGGAGCCCTCGCTGCGCCCCAAGGCCTGGCTGGGCAGCTGCTCCCGGGTGGCCAGCACGTACAGGTACTTGCGGTAGACGGTGTCGTTCCGGGGATCTGTGGCAAACTGCAAGGAAGGCGGCCGGCATCAGGAGGCGGCGGTGGCAAAGCGGCTCCCATCCCTCCCGCAGGGCCGCTGGCTCCTCTTGGCACAGGCATTCCGGGGGGGATCAAGGAGTCTGCCATGAACGGCTGGAGGGAAGGGCCCCCAGAGCCCCCCGGGGGCCCCCACTCTTTGCCACTCCTCAGAGGGAGGGGCTCTGCTGGCCTCACTTCCACTGGGCCCCCTCCCCCTCCCCAGGGAACCTGGCCAAGAAGCAGCGGAGTTCCCAAAGAGCCAGCAGAGGGGAAGGGCCGGGGGCACCAGCTTCCCTCTCCCATCCCAGCCAGAAACCACCTGGGCCCTTTTGGAAAAGCTGCCACCCTCAGTCCCCCCTCGGGTGGCATGGACTGTGGCTGGACTGCCACCATTCCCGCATCGTTATTCTGAACACATCCTGGAGTCTGGTCTCCAGGGGATCCTGGCAAGGCCCGCGTGGGTGATCTTCTGAGGGGGCACGCGGGAAATCCGTGGCTGAGCTTCTCAGAAAAGGGAAGCTCTTCTCCTGTTTTAAGGGCACCAGACGCCGAGGGGAGCCTGGGCCGGTTCAGAAACCCTGGCGGGAGAGGCGGAAGCTTTACGGGGAGACCTTGGGTGGGGAAAAGGGCCCGAGGGGAAGGGAGACTGGAAGCCCCCTTAGCAAGAGGACGGGGGTCCCTGGCCTGTCTGCATCAGCCGCCAGCAGAACGAGCCTCCCCTCGCCTGCTGGAGGGCAGAAAGGAGGGGGGACGGCTGGCGTGTACAGGGGGCCGACCGAAAGGGGGCAGCTCTCTCTTTTCTGCCTACGATTTCGTGGTTCTCGGTTCAGGGCGGCAGGAGGGGCTGGGCACAAACAGGGGAAGGGGATGCCGCCGGTTTCCAAAGGGCAGCTTGGTTCCCCTCCCACCAGGGCTGCGTTTCCCCTGCACCCGGTGTGCCAAGACACCCGCCCGGAGGACTCGGCTCCCCTCTCCTCTCCCGCCGCAGAGGCACGTACGTCCTTAGCGCTGCGGCACAGCACCATGTAGCGGCAGGCCCGGCGCCACTGGATGTGGCCCATGGTGGAGGAGACCAGGGCATTCTTGAGGAAGAAGAGCGTGCCGTTGTAGTCCAAGATGAAGACGTGGTCCTTGGTGGGCAAGAACTTCCGGTAGCCATGCGAGAGAAGGGGGGCCACGGTCTTGCTGACGAAGTGCCGCCGGCCGCTGAACATCTGGAAGTACAAGCCCTTGGTGTCTGTGGGACAGAGAGGCCCGAGGGCGGGGAAATTGGGTCTGTCCAGAGGAGCCGACTGGCAAGAGCTTCCGGGTGGGGCCTGGGGGGTGAGGCAGCTCCACTCCCCTCGTCCTTCTTCTTCGGAGGACACCGGCTCTTCCTCCTCCTCCCCCCCTTCCCCTCCCCTCCCCTCCGCTTCACACCAGGCTATACTGACAGTTGAGGATGGCCGATCTCTTCCACGGCCGGCTGCCACCCGAATTCTCATCCCGCAGCCGAGGGGAAAGACGGCGGCAGATGCGCTGCCAGACCCCCTCACTGTCGCAAACTTCATAGAAATACCGGCAGGTCTGGCCGAGAGCCACCAGGTCCCTCACAGGCAGGAAGGAGATGATGTAGTACAGCTGCAAGAGGAGGGGGAGCCGGTCAGGAGGCCTCCCCCCCCCCGCCTTCCTCAGGCCCGGCCTACGGCCCCCTCCGTGCCCCCCCTTCTCCTGCCCCCGAGGCTCACCCACCAGTTCAGGAGGGAAGAGCTGGATGGAGGCGGATTCTCCCCTGGCCTTCTTGTCCTCGGTGGCCTCCGTGGATGAGCTGCGCCGCTTCTTCTTGGGCTGCTGTAGGCAGAAGAGAGGAGCCAAGAGCCCCCTTATCCTGGATCTCCCCGGGCTTCTTCCTCTCCCGGGGGCTCCGGAGGGCCCTTAGCTGCAGCTGCTGGGGAGCCAGCTCAGTACTGGGGCAAAGGCCTTCCCTGCAGGGCTGTGCACTACCTGGTGGACTGATGCCTGACGTACCATCGAAGAAGAAACAAGAAGCATCTGCCTGCCTGACTCCTCCTAAAACCCCCAAGACTTTCACCTCGCAGGAACCCCAGGTCCCTCCCCAGGGTCTCTTTATGGAGTGGAGGGGACCCTGGCTCCTGGGCCGGAGGAAGGGGGGGGAGGAGGAGGAGGGGATCTCCTCCTGGGCACGCGCTCCCTAAAATGGGCGCCAGGGGGCAGGATTGGCCAGGTGAAGAGGGAGCTGCTGATTTCGGAGGAAACCGGCTTGTCTGAAAAGTGACTCAACTTCCTTACAGCTGATTCACACTGACTTTCTTTGCAGGCTGAGGACAAGTTTACCTTCCTTTTTTTTTATTTATTTATTTTTTTTGCAGTTGCTCTGTTGTTACTTGGATCTAAAAACATTTTGGAATAAGGTCAGTCGAATTTGCCCCACAGGAGTCTGTGTTTCAATGTGGTTTTTCTTTTNCTTCAACTCCTTCCAAGGCCCCTTCACCGAAAGATTAGAAAGCCCGTTGGCCTCTCCCAGGCATGGCCAGACCCCCAAGCTCCCAATCCCGACTCAGAGGAGGACTCGGCCCCGACCGGGACGGGGGCTGAGGGATCATCTCAGAAGCTATGGGGGGGCTCCAAGTATTGCAAGGCTGGGCCGGGGCACCCTTGGAGGGGCTCCCACTCCCCTCGCAGGTGTCCAGCTGAGCTGGGAAGGGCAGTGGGGGGGGTCAGTTCCCTTCCGAAGGGGAGCCGGTGAAGGATGCCAATCAAGGCTGCCGAAGCAACCGAGATTCCTTGGCCCCTCGTTGCATGGCCTCCCCAGAGCTACCCCCCCGGCCTTCCTTCCTTGGGGGGCCTGGAATGAGGGGAGCCTTGTCACAATGGGGGGCGTCTTCAGCAGCTCCCCTTGGGGAGGATCCCGGGGTCTCACGGCTCTCCCTCCCCCGCGCAGATCTCTCGCGGAACCGCTTTGCCGAAGTGCCGGAAGACGCCTGCCACCTGATGTCCCTGGAGGGGCTGAGCCTCTACCACAACTGCCTGCGTAGCCTCCCTCCGGCCATGGCCAACCTCCAGGCCCTCACCCACCTCAACGTCAGGTACTCCGGGCAGGGAGGGAGGGAGGCAGGCAGGCGGAGCAAAGGGCCGGGCGGCTGGGCTCTCGTGCGCGGGGGTCTCCCTTCTCAGCCCGCCTGCCTTCCTCCCCTCAGCCGGAACCAGATCTCCGTCCTGCCTGCCTGCCTTTGCCACCTGCCCCTCAAGGTCCTCATCGCCAGCAACAACAAGCTGGCTTCCCTCCCGGAGGACATCGGCTCCCTTGGCAGCCTTCGCCAGCTGGTGAGTCTGCCGGCTGCGGAGGGCGGGTGGGCGGAGAAAGACCGAGGCCCAGCCAGGACGGGCTTCCGGGGTCCCGGGCTGCAGAGGTGGGGCAGCTGCCCGAATCCATGTGGCCGCAGCACCAGGCAGAACCCTCTGGTGGCTGGGCAGGGGCTTGAGGGAGGGGGCCGCGGAGTGGCCTGGGCCCTTCCTGTGGGCAGCCTCTGTTGCGGAGGGAGGCAGGGGCTTCACCCGGCCCCCTTCCTCCCTCCCCGAGCAGGATGTCAGCAGCAACGAACTGCGGTCGCTCCCGGGGAGCATGGGGGGCCTGGAGCGTCTTCGGGACCTCAACGTCCGCCGGAACCAGATCACAGTCCTCCCTGAAGGTCAGCAGCAGTTTGGGCAGCCGGCGTCTCTGGGTGGAGTCCCCTCCCTCCGCCTGGGGCCTTTGGGGCTCTGCCCGCCCCAGAGCCTTTCTGACTGCCCCCCCCCTTTTGCCTTGGCAGAGTTGGGGGAGCTCCCGCTGGTGCGGCTGGACTTCTCCTGCAACCTGGTCACTCGGCTCCCCGTCTGCTTCCGCCACTTGCGACACCTGCAGTGCCTCCTCCTGGAGAACAACCCCCTGCAGTCCCCACCTGCTCAGGTAGGCCTCTCCCCCCCCCCGCCCCATTTGGGCCCTCCCTCGCTGAGCCCCCTGGCCGTGGCTGGCCCCGCCCACCCCCGGGCTGACCCCAGGCTGCTTCGGGGACGGAGGCTGGGAGGACGGTGGTCCAGCAGAGGAGGAGGAGGAGGAAAAAGAATTTCAGTGAGAAATTTTCCAATTTTAATAGATTTGTATGCCGCCCAATCCCGAAGGACTCCGGGCGGGTTACATAAAAACAGTTTAAAAGCATTTAAAAAAAGTTTAAAATACAGAAAAAAATAGCGGCAATACGATGGGCTGAAGGGAGACCCTAATCGCATGCAATAAAATAATAAATTCTGATTAAAATAAGAAATGGGGAAGGGCCACGAAGAGCCTCCTGTGTTGGGCTCCAGCCCCCATTGGCTGCCCCGTACCTCAAACCTCCAGCCTCCCATCGGCCCCTCCGGTTCTCAGGCTGAGGTGAACGGGGGGCAGTCGAAGGGGGCCCAGAATGAAAGAAATACAGTAAAACGATGCACAGCCTCAAAACAACCTTTAACCTCCTCAGAGTTACTGGAGAGGGCGAGGGGGAGCTTTGTGCTCTGCCCCTCCCTCACCCGAGGCCTTCCGTCCTGCAAGCCCCCTCCCCCCCCCCGGGAGGGGGCAAAGGGGGCCCGGAGCCTCCTTGCCAGAAGCATCGGCCACAGCTGTCGTGGGGGTGGGGGGGCCTTCATCCCGCAGCCTGGAAAGGAGGACCCCCTGGGCTGCCCCTTGGCCGGAGGACTCAGCCCGGCCCTTGGAGAGAGGGGGGAGGGAGGCCTGGCCGGGAGGGCCGTTCCGTGTCTGATGGGCCCCCCACCCCATTTCCACAGGTCTGCCTGAAGGGCAAAATCCACATCTTCAAATACCTCAACACGGAGGCCTGTGGCAAAGGCAGGCCGGGCTTGGCCGAGCTCGCCCAGGGACGCCCTGCCACCTTCGGCACGTGGTAAGAGGCTGAGGGAGGGCCCCGGAAGGAGCCGGCTGCGGCCTCTGGTCAAAGGGGGGGGGGGCTCGGTGGTCCCACCCTCGGGGGCCGCTTCAGCTTCCGTCCTGCCTTTCAGCCTCCCGGATGACTTCTATCCGGCCCGGCAACACGGCGGCCTTGACTCCGGCTTCCACAGCGTGGACAGCGGCAGCAAGCGGTGGTCGGGGAACGAGGTACGTGGTGCCCGGCAGGTGAAACCCCTTCGTTTTTCCCCGTGCTGGAGGAGGGGGACTGGGGGGAGAACGGGAGAGACCCCCGCAGCCAGGGCTGAAAATGGGTTTGGCCCTGAATGGGGGGCCCCTCTCTCTTCCTCAGTCCACTGACGAGTTCTCCGACCTCTCCTTCCGCATTGCCGAGTTGGCTCGCGACCCCAAGCAGCTGCGGGAGAAGCGTGGAGGGGCAGGTGAGCAACGGGGGGTGGTGGTGCGTGGGGTTGGGGGCTTTTGTGTCCACCAGCATTGCCGTAGCCAAGGAGGGCCGGAGAGTGGCGAGGCGGCTGGAGCCCAGCTCTTCCTCACAACTCTTCCCTATCCCCCCCCCCCTTGCTCCCCCACCCCCAGGCGATGCCGGAGAAGTGGAGCAGATCGACTACATCGACAGCAGCGTGAACGGGGAGGAAGAGGAAGAGGAGGATTCGCTGGTGGAGGAAGAGGCGATGGGGGGCTCTCCTCCAGCTGGGAGGGCCGGCAAGGCATGGAGCGGCTTCCCAGGACTGGCGCCCCACGAGGTAAAGGGGGCTGCCTCCGGGGTCCTCTCGCTCGATCAGCAGAGCGGCTGGGACTCCATTGCGGGAGGCTGGGGGGGGAAATAGATCGGTCCTGGCCGGGGGGGGGGTACGGAGGAGGGGGAGAGGGACACCCCTGCATTGATTCCCCTCTGCCCGTCTCCCATAGGAGCCCCAGAAACACACCAGGATCCCCTCCCAGAGAGTGGGCGCTGGAGAGCCAGGGCTGATGGCTGGCAGGTACGGGCACTCCCTGGAGGGGCCAGCAGGAAGTGGGGAGGGAGGCTGGGGGGGGGGGCTGGTCGTCCTGCAGGAATCGTGGGGGGTGGGCAGGCCAGCTCTTCTGCCCCTCGGGGCCCAGCCAGAGCAGCTGCCCCCCCGTGTGCATGTGGAGCCTTCCCCCCCACTCTTTAGGGGCGGCAGTGGGGCCGGCTCCGCCAGGCCGGAGTTCTCAGCCGAGGAGCGCCGTCGCCCAGAACTCCTGCAGCTGTGGCAGGAAAGGGAGCGCCAGCAGCAGCAGCAGCAGCCGCCCTCGCGGGGGACGGACAGGTGGGCGTCTGTGGCTCCCTGGCAGAGGCTTTGGAGCCCTCCGGCTGGGGGGAGGTCAGTCCTTCCACCCGCTGGCAGGGACCGTGTTGTCCGGCATCCCCTCCAGGGGCCTCTGGGGACATGGAGGGGCAGCTGAATCCTCCGGGCGTCCTGCCAGAGTGATGCTCTCCGGGAAGGAAGGAAGGGAGGGTGGCTGGCTGGCAACCCAAGCAGTCAGCTCTTCCCCAGGAGATCCGAAGAGCCTTTCGCGCAATCGCCTCGCCTTGCGCNTCCCACGTGTGTTTTCACTTCCTGCTGCCTCCGGTGCAGTTTTCCCCTCCCCCCCCCACCCCTCCCTTGACGCCTTTCGGCATCGGGAGGCTTCCAGTCCTGCCCAGGTGCCACCCAGAGTCACCTTGCGGGGGAAGATGGTAGCATAGAAATGCAGTAATGGTAATAAAACGTGGCAGGGTCTGGAGGCAGCAGAAGGGGGGGGGGGTAAACGGAGCAGAGAGCGAAATGCGAAGACCTGCAAATAGAAATGGAACGATGGGGGGGCGGAAGGAAGGAAAGGGGGCACCAAGAGCCACAGGCCCCTCGGGAGGAATCCCAGAACGTCCACTGGAGCACCGTGGGCATTGACAAGCTCACCACCGGTCAATTGCAGGAGGCAGCTTTGCTCGGAACCGCCGAGGCCAAGAGCAGCCTGCACTTGTGGACTTCAGCTCCCAGAATCCCCCAGCTAGCCACGTTGGCTGGGGAATTCTGGGAGTTGAAGTCCACAAGTCTTCTTCAAGTTCCCAAGTTGGAGACCCTACGCCCTCCAACCTCCCCATCTGCCCCTCCCCTTGGGAAGACCCAAATGCCCCGTGCAATCTGGACCCCCGGCTGGTTGTGCAGAGGAGAACCATCACAAGAGGAAGGGTCTCTCTCTCTTGCTGTAAACTACCCAGGGGAGACCGAAGACCCCCTCCCACCCACCCAGCATGCGATCTGGCACCTCAGCATCCCCTTCAGGATATCAATGTGGCCTCTGGCTGTTTTAGTTGTCAAAGGACACACACAAGTGCCAGCCTCATTTTCTCGGGCACCGACCCAAACCGTGGAGCATTGTCCTGGCCCTGCAGGTGAAGTGGGGCCTTCTCCAGCCCCCCACCCCCACCCCCGGTCAGCCCACAGCCACAGTTGGAGATGGTGCAGCAAAGAAATCAGTTGGGAAAAGCAACAGAAGGGCTGCAAAAGAAAAGGGAGGTGGGGTGCCCAGCCCCCCCCCCTGTCCATCTCTGTGCCACGGACAGTTTGGGAGGTTTGGGGGAATGTGCCCATTGCACAAGCCCCACGGGTGGGATTCGCACTGATTGGACTTCTCGCCCTTTTCGGTTAGGACAGGCCCTCCCTCCCGGGGCCCCCTCCTCCGCAGAGGAAATGGCGGCAACTGGGGGGCAGAGCTCTGCCCCGAAACCTGCCCCGCTCACCAGCTGCCAAAGCCACAAGCAGGGAGCACCTGTCGGACGGGCAGAATCCCTCCGCAGCCCCCCAGGGCACCAGAGGAAGGAAGGAGGCTGCCTGCACGGCCCCTTCCCACAAAATGGACGCCCACGCGGCTGTACACAGGGGGGCCCACTCATCCCAAGGACCCCCCCCCAAGCACCACACAGCACGGCGGCCGCAGGGAGGCCCACACGCCAACGGAAGCCCTCCAGGAGGAAGAAAGCAAAGGGCCCTGTGGCCCCGACTTCAGGGGGAGGCCCCGAGGCTGCTGGGGGAGGGGGGGGCAAGGTTAGGGCTGCAGCAGCCGGACCAAACTCCTCCAGCCGAGGGATTCTGGGGCTTCCAAAGCTGTCTTTCCAGAGTTTATTCCGGTTCCCTGGCCTCTCCTTGCCAAAAATGGAAAGGTGGCTGCTTGTGGTTTGAAGGAATGAGGAAGAGCAGAGGCCGATGACGGGTGAAGGGGCCCAGCTGGGCCAGGAGGGGCTGTGCCCGTCGGCTGCCAGCCGGAGCGGAGAATCCGGATTCCACCAGTTCAGATCTGGATGTGGCGCTGATCAAAAGTCCCTCTGGGCCGGTTTCCCTCCGGCGACCGTCCCTCTCTCTCGGGCGCTGGCAGGAATAGAAGCCTTTGGGGGCTCTCGGGGGGGGGGCCCAGCTCTCCCCCAGCTCAGCAGTTGGGCTGCTTCTCCCACCTTCAGCTGCCCCCCCTCCCACCGGCCCTGTGGGCAGCCAGGAGGAAGCAGCACCCCCAGGAAGCACCTGATGGCCGACTGCCCCAAGGAAGCCCCTCTCTCCCCTCCGCTGGGGGCCCCCGCAGGAGGCAGGTCAGCTGGGGGGGGCACCTCCAGAAGGGGGGCCCTGAAGGAGCCCCTCGCAGAAGGAAAGAAGGAAATCCTCCCCTCCAGTCAGAGTGGAAGAAGCTTCTGGGATGAGAAGGGAAACGTCTTCAGAGAAAAGCTGGAACGTCCAGTGGCAGGAGGGGAAAAAGGCCCTGTGGGGCCACCGTGTGTGTGGGGGGGCTGAGGGAGGGTCTCCAGAAGCATGCAGAAAGGAGGAGCACCCCTCTCCCTGGCAGCCTGCAGCCAGAAGCCCCCCCTTCAGCCCCCCCCCCCTGCCCTCAAGGGCCCACCCATGGGAAGAACCTCGTTTTCTTCGGAATTGGGCATTTTGTGTCAAGAGGGCAGAGGAAGGAAGGGCCTTGAAGCAGAGCCCCCACCCAGCCCCCTCCCCCCTTTGCAGCAAGGAGGAGGGTCCCCCTCCCTCCGTCTCTTGGGGGTGGCTGCCCAAGCCTCCCTGGGGAGAGGAAGTTGGGGGCAGGGGCTTGGCAGAAGCCGGACCCCTCCCTGGGCACTCTGGGCTGAGTGGCAGCCCCACCGTGGCAGCCTTCAGGATGGGTTCTCGGGGGTGTGTGTGTGTGTGTGTGTGTCAGCTGGTTCTCATTGTGGGAGGAATTTCATGCCAGCCAATGGTAACCCAGGGCCCCACAGTTTGGGGGGAGGTGGGGAGCCCCTAACTTCGGTCCCCCATTCAGCAGGTTCCCCATCTCCACGTTAGATCTGGGCCTCCTGGGGGGTTCCTGTGGCAGGGGAGGGGCTTTTGGTGGGCAGGGAATGCCCTTCGCCCTATTGGTACGGTGGGGGGGGGAGGGGAGGGGTACTGTGCCAGCCAGGAGAGGAGCGATGGCCTCGGCCTTCTTGCCCGTCTGGTCCTGCCAGAGTGCCCATCTGCTCGGACAAGAGGGG